TATATATAATGTACAAACTTAATATATTAGATATGTATATGAATAAACCTATTTATTCCTTGCAATGACTATTTTTCGTTAATTATTTTGCAGATATAAAGCTCGATTAGATTCATCGGTAATGGTCATCTTTTGATCAGTCTACTCTCACTCACCATGGGGCTCTTGGGCCTCCGATAATGGGGCCTTCAGCCAGCCCCCTTTCCCGCCCCCTTTGATCATCACTTTGGGCCCAATCCCATCTTTACTAGTCATTTCCTTAGTAGTGTCAGGGTTCTCGAGTTTCTGATTCTGCGTGCTCGCAGGGGATTCTGACCTCTGCTGCTCCGCGCTTGCCACTGGAATTTTCATTACAAGAAACCCACTCTACGTATCTCTCGTTTTCTAATCTTGTACACAATAGAACGCTTCAAGATATATGTATACGACTGTATACTAACCACTATACCACCTTACAGCCCGTAAAAAAAAGACGAATCCTTCACCTCTTTTACTCCGCTCTTTTTATCTCATTAACTTATATATATTAACTAATTGTAAGAGCGAAAATCCTCCGTCAAATGTGTATCCCCTCATTAAACGCAACTAACGATTGCATATTACACAATTAGATTCATAATTCTCATTATCTCAGCTAATTTCATACATCTGCGTTTCTATTTATCCATTCATAGTTCCGCATCGTATATTTTCATATTCGCGACATATCAGATCAATACCTCACCACGTTGACCGTTACTCCGCGAGAGTGTGGATCAAAATACCCTCCTCCCAGGCATCGATTATTCATTTCGCATTTCAGACGTGCGTAATACGACGGAGTAAGTGCACTGTGTAATTATTAGCGCGCGTGCATTTTCGGTTCGAGCTCTTTCACAACTTTTGTGTGTGTGTGTGTGTGTGTGTGTGTGTGTGTGTGCGCACGCGCGTGTGTGTTTCCCGTCCTTGTGCGTGTAAAACAAAATGAAAATTATCCAGAGCGCGCGGTTTTCGTATCTGCGAGCACCGGTCGATCGCAAGAGTAAAACGAGGTAAAAATTATTATTACAGTTGCTCGAACTTTTGGCCGACGTCTAATTAGCCGCTGATATTTTTTTTCCCTTCACGAACACGTATAGGTCGGCGAGAATATGGACTAAAACCAATTTCTGTATAAAGCAGCCCTTTTTCTTTGACCCACTCCCTTCCCTTCCCCCCCCACTCTCAATTCCCGTTTGTAATCGCACGCGGGCACACCCGGGTGTGCAATAGCGCTCGTGGTGCATGGTGTATCGACTTCCGCGAAAGACAAAGGAAAAGCGTATATTCTTTTTTTCGCGAAAATTCGAGATACCCGGAGTGCAAGAGAGAGGATACGGCGGAAAGGAGAAGGGAGGAGGGGTGGGGGGAGAAGGGAGAAACCCAATTCGGAGCAAATACCGCTGGACGAACGCATACACATGGACGACGAGCCGTTACATATACACACGAATAAGACACAGACAAAGAGAGAGAAAGAGAGAGTGAGAGACATGCACATATACATGGCGCGCAAAAGACGAGGGGAAGGGAGAAGCGTAACGGGGGCTTTAGCAAGGGGGACGAACGTAGGGGGAGAGTGGTAGCGAATGCTTAAAACGAAGATGGCTAGTAGGGCCCACCATTTTCGCCCGGGCACACACGTACACACGTGCACCGGTGTGTGTGAGGAATACACGTAACATATACCCAAGCAACCCCTGCGTCAGCCATCCATTTAGTTGAGGGTGGTGGGTGGTCCGGGTGGGTGTAGGGGGTGAGGGGGAGGGAGGGGAGAAAGGGCGATGGGAGGTAGATGGAGATGGAGGAGGATGAAGAGGTGGAAAAGGGGGACCTAGCGGGTGCACCAGCGTCCCCCTCGTCCACCCCCTGCCCCCCTTCCCTCCCCCCAGGCAGATCGATACAACCCCCGTCTCTCACAACCCGCCCAACCACCCCCGCAACTTTACTTATTATACATTCCCACCCCAAATCCCCGCGTCTCATTATCTTTGTCATTGCGAAGGAAAAATCGAGAAAACTCCGGAATAACGTATAACTGTATACATAGCGCGTACTATAGCAGAGAAACAGAAATATACGCGTGCGTGTGTGTACGTTTCTCCTGAGAGTATAATCTTGCTCTCTCTCTCTCTCTCTCTCTCCTCCCTTTTGAAGAACGTATCAATGCCCGGCGACGTAAACGGATCGTTTCATGGCTTAAAACCGATCACGCGTGTTCTTGTGAATCTCGCGCAAAAATTCTCTAAAAAAGCGTGCCTATGTCCCAAAGAGACTCTAATTAATCAACGAAAGAAAAAACAAAATTTTCAATCGTAACATTTCCTTTATAGCATAAAGGGAGAGAAATATTCCCGCAGGTTCTCGGATCTTCCCTTGGCAAATGACCTAAGATACGTGATTACAGCCGTGTTACGCGATTACAAAGGTGGTAACGCCACGCGACTCTTCCCGCTCTGTGCGAGTCGCGTTACATGCGGTATCGTCTGTATATATATCTCTCGACTTTTCGTCATCAACTACGACCGTATTGCAAGAGGTGTCTCTTGTCAATAATGATTGCCAAAGAGGAGAAAATCGATATCGTCTGGAAATTGCGACCAGAATCTTCCGTGTTGGGAGATGAAATTCGTGTGTTCGCGGATGAATTTTTCTCACCTATGAACAGTTATCGATTTGCTGTACGTCGGCGAGGTTAAAACTAACTCCTTTACTCTTATGCTTTACGATAATTCATAGTCTCGCTCGTATTGTTGAATTTTCGCATACATTGAAACATTTTTCGGTTTCGTGAGAGTCATCGCAAACATTAAAGCATTAAACGAAGAGAAATAAATGTTTAAAACATGTCATTCGCTTTTTCCTCATGTTATACCAATAAAAAGAAGCTATTTTGATGTATTATGTTAGTAATGTGTTAGTATACTGTTTGAGATCGGAGTCATAAAATGCTCATCAGAATAGATCTTCGAAGAAGTTTGTTTCTTAGCTACAACTATACAAAAAGGGAAGTGTTATTTTCTTTACACAAAACCGTGTATGAAATGATAGAGTAAATTTGGATAATTCTATTCTGACACCGAGACTCTTAACACGATCTTCCCATACATTTACAAATATTTATAATAACATGTAGTTTGCGCGCGTAGACGTGTGCTACTTACATTGATGTTTGTCCGCGAGCATAACTAAGGTAGAAGGTAAATCCCTCCGCCTGAAGAAGCACATGACTTTTGCTTCCACATTTCCATTTGCGGTCTGAAAAACAGGAAACAGGTGGTAAAAGGTTAAAAGATATATGTTTCGGGCCTATCATAATAATGTAATTTATACGCATTTTTATAAATTAAGAAAATTAGTTTACACAAAACAATTATGATTTATATAAAGAAGATAAATTTATAAGATATATAGACGAATACAAAATAATTCTCGTTCTCATATTTTTCAACAAAATGCGAAAGTTCTATATATTTCGACTTAATTCTCACCTTATTTAATTCTTCTATCCTTCTAATCTGGTACGGTGATGAGGTGGAAGTTTCGAAATACACATAATCTAAAAATCAGAAACCAATTAATGATCTTGCTGTTAAAATAACAAGAATTATATAATAATCAAGAATTATCATATCCTCCCCCCCCCCTCTCTCTCTCTTCGAAATTTTAATTATCTTATAAAGATCTCTAGAAAAAAGAATGTAAAAATGTCTTTTTCTTCTTCTTAAAATATCTATTATAAATATACGAGATGTCTTAAAACTATCGAATGTCCTTATAATAATATATTCTTTAGAGGCGATATTTCTTTAGTAAAAATGCCGAAGCATCAATAATCTTCGAGTTTCAAGAAATTTAAAAAGATTTTGCGTTTCAAAGCTTGAAGTTTTTTTAACAAAATTTAATATTCAGTTACAAATATATATAAATTGCATTTTTATTACAACGCTTCAAGTTTTCATATTTCGTATTTGGATAAGGTGCCATGTACATCATTCAGCTTTCTTTTTTCAATAAAGGACCGTTGCTGCCCGTTCGTTTTTTCTTTCGATTTTTTATTACTGGCAATAATGTGCAGGCCTAACGGGAATTTTTATTTCCGCTTTTTACACATACGGTCGGGAAATTTCTTTTTGTCTTCTAAATTTTTAGAGAAAGCATTTGTTCGGTGAAATACTTCGAAATACATCTTAGAAACACGTGTAAGATATCCGAAATCATTGAATAATCTTTTTAATGATAAGACCTTTAAAGAGAAAGAAAGAGAGAGCCAATTTAACCAATTTGATTTTTTTATGGGAAAAATCACTGAAGAATCATCTTTATTGCAACTTTTCAATTTTTTGCATTATATACATACATACATTTATATATATA